ATTATTTTTTTCTATCTGTTTATTTACATTCATTATTTATATAAAATTATATATTATAATATTATTAATATTATATTTTTTATAAATAAAAATTCTAACATTTCTAATAATAAGTGACATTAAACTAACCTAACATATAGTTCCACTGGTTATTCAGTAATGGAGGGTAGGCTTCGTTTTGCGTCGCGTAAAATTGAAAGTACGTGATTATTATAATTTTAAAAACTGTTAATTGTGTAATTAAAAAAATGTATAAAAAATGTAAATACACTTTATATAAAATTATAGTAATTAATAATTAAAACAAAAATAAAAATATATAATAGAAAAGTAATTCTAACCTGAATAATGTATTAAATTTTATTGCTATTTCGACAATCATTTTAATGTTCATAAAAATTTTAAATAAACATTAAATAATTATAATTTTAATAACATAAACAAATGTCGGTAATATTTCTTTAACAAAAAAGAAAAAAGAAAAAAAAAGACAAGAAACAAAAGGAATATGAATTTAATGCAAGACACCACCCAAATGCAGTTGTATTGCTAAAAAATGTTTCGAAGTCGAAGCTGGTTTGGTGGAGGGCTGTGGAAGCCCAAAAATCCTCATTCTTTAGAACACCTTAAGTATGTATATATATATATATGTGTATGTGTATATATATAAACTATATGTAAACTTTTACTTTTTGTTTATTATTATATATAGATATTTATACCATGTTCTTTCAAAAAATCAAACAGTATCTGAAAATAATAGAGGCTTATTGGTAGAAACTCTTCGTTCCATAGCTGAAATTTTAATATGGGGTGACCAAAATGATAGCAGTGTATTTGAGTAAGTTTTTATAATATAATTGCTATTTAATCATATTAATAAATTTTTTGTATGATAAATAATAACTGTATATTCTTTATTAGTTTTTTTCTGGAAAAAAACATGCTTTCATTTTTTTTACGTATAATGAAGCAAAAATGTGGAAGCTATGTATGTGTTCAATTATTACAAACTTTAAACATTTTATTTGAAAATATACGTAATGAAACATCTTTATGTAAGTTTATAACCAAAATTATTATAAATTTGTTTGATCACTTTTGATAAAATTTTAAAAAGATATATGTTTTCAGATTATTTATTAAGTAATAATCACGTAAACAGTATAATAGTGCACAAATTTGACTTCAGTGATGAAGAAGTGATGGCATACTATATCAGTTTTTTAAAGACTTTAAGCTTGAAGTTAAATGCGCATACCATTCACTTTTTTTATAATGAGGTAAACGAGGTACACATGATAATCCTCTGTGTCTATTATTTCACTTTTGCTAATCTCATACTCATTAATTTTAATAATAATTTTTTACTATTTCTTCCCAATTTTAATGTTATAATATCTATATGTATTTATAGTTAATTTACTCATATGCTTTTTATTGTGATCATTTTCATTATCATTATCATCATCACTTAAATTCTGCACTTGATATATAAAAAAGAATGTGTTTTAATTTCTAATTTTTTTATCAGCACACCAATGATTTTCCATTGTATACAGAAGCAATTAAATTTTTTAATCACTCAGAAGGAATGGTTCGTATAGCAGTGCGAACTTTAACATTAAATGTATATCGAGTAGAAGATGCTTCTATGCTAGCATTCATAAGAGATCGCACTGCTGCTCCCTATTTCAGCAATCTTGTATGGTTTATTGGTAATCATATTATAGAGCTTGATACTTGTGTTAGAAATGATGCTGAGTAAGTTATTATTTAAAAAAAACATGACTTAAATAATTATATCAAAAAGATATTTCATAATATATATATATATATATATACATATATATTTCAGTCATCAAAGCCAAAATAGATTATCAGATTTAGTAGCAGAACATTTGGATCACTTGCATTATTTAAATGATATTCTTTGTTTAAATATATCTGATTTAAATAAAGTTTTATCAGAACATTTGCTTCATAAATTATTAGTTCCATTATATGTTTACTCACTTATGAAACACAAAAATCTTCTGTGCCAAAATCAGGTATGTTTTCAATTAGATCTAGAATTACTTGATATGATAATAATTTAAATTTGATTTGTTTATAATTAATAGGAAGAAAGAAAACATGTGAGCATTGTTGTAGCTTTGTTTTTACTCTCTCAAGTATTTTTAATAGTCTCTCATGGTCCTCTTGTACATACATTAGCAGCAGTAATGTTATTATCAGATTTAGAGACAATACAAACAGGTGCAAGTAAAGTACTTGAAATGTATGGTGATATTTCATCAGATAAGCCAATTGCTTTTTCACCACCAAAAGAAAGTTTAGAAAAATCTTTAGAAAATTTAAGTGAATCATTAACAATGTCAGATGAACTTTGTGAAGATGAAAATAATTTAGAAAGAAAAGATAGTGAGAATGGAAGTGAAGAAATTTTAGAAATAAATCATGCCAGTACATCATTTGATACTGCTTCATCGGGAGATATGCCTATACTTATGAGTCCAGAACAACAAGAAATAAGCATTCCAACTGAAGATTTAGAAGAAATCAAACACTTAAATGTTACTGATGAAGAAAAAGAACAAAGATTAGCACTAGAAAGTCCCTTAACACCTCATGCTCAAAAAAATGTTACTGAATCATTATCAAATAAGCCGTTTTTAGAAACTATTTTAAATTCTTTATTCTGTACAGAAAATGATTATGCCGCTCTATTCGCATTATGTTTATTATACGCTCTAGCTAACAATCAAGTAGGTAAAACATTTTACAAATATTGTATGTAATAAGATTTTATTTTTGTTTTAATTAAATAAATTTTTAAGGGCATAGATCGTAAAACTTTGGATCCAATTTTATGCAATTCACAAAATTCAACGACGAATTCATATAATGAAATTTTAATAGATAGACTGATTCATATTATAACATTAAGTTGTCAAACAAGTGAGTCATTTTATAGAATGTTTTTTCTAATTTTTTACATAATAATCAATAAATAATATTTTTATTAGATGCAAGAGTAAGACTTGTTACTTTGGAATTGACAATTAAATTGCTAATACAATTAGTAATGTCAGAAGGACAAAGCATGTTAAAAGATTCACATTTGGCAGCAATTCAAGCAGCCAAAGAACAAAGTACATCATTATTAAAAAATTTTTATAAGGTCTGTTATTATCAGATACTAATTTTTTTTTTTCTTAAATATTAAAAATCATAAAAAAAATTTGATTTTATTTTTAGAGTGAAGATATATTTCTAGATATGTTTGAAGATGAATATAGCGAAATTCAAAAACGACC